CTACTCTCAACATGGAAAGTCCTCCTCCAAATTTACGGGTGGAAATGCCTGACCCATTTCAGTGTTCGCCGTCGATGCAAATCGAGATGTTCAAACAAAACACCACAAACAACACAATGCTGGATACAAATTAAGATGCTCAGTGGTTTTAGAAATTATTAGAGTTTCTGATGTCTTACTTTATATATTTTTACTTAAATTTATCTAATGAACGATTCAATAACCTCCGTTATCCGAAATATATTTAAATGAAAGATCCGACACTTGTTCAGTCCAAGATGCCACCTGAGTCCGGTCCAGCAGAATCTTAGCTTCTTCTATCATCTATGTGAATAAGAATTAAGAAGACCCGAGTGATGGAGTGATGGAGTGATGGAGCTCATTTAATTATATTTGGATGCTCCGACAGACGACAAGACGACAAGCCGACAACCTCATTCCTTAAATCGATCAGACTTCAGAGGGGTATATTAGAAAGAAAGAAAGAAAAATTCAATGATGAAATTATTAATTTTCGTGGATATTTTTATTTTTTAGGCAGTGGGAGTGTGGGACCATGGTAGTGGGGCGTGGGGGTATATGATTTGTAAATTGTCATTCCTCTTCCAGCTTCTTCCAAAAAAAAATATACATAACAGATTTGACAACTAACAGGGATAAAAAATTGGGATCAGAGATACAGGCCATTAATCATCCTTGTACGTGGTGGGAGGGTGATAGGGGGAGAGAGAGAGTTGCGATGCACTCACGCACCAAAAAAAAATGTTCCTTTTCTCAATCTCAACAACAAACTATTTTCCTCCTCATTCTTCTTCTTCTTCTTCTTCTTCTCATTCCCTCTTTTTTTCCCTCTCCTGATCAGGGAGAAACAGAATCCGATCTTCGATGCCATTGTCGTGTGTGGGGTTGGAAGTCCAAGAGGACTACGATCAACCACAGAAGGTCTGATCATTGTTTCGTCATGGTTTGAAGTTTGAACTGCAGGACAGGAGTTTTTTTTAGTTTTACAAAGAAGAAGATATATTTATATCTTCGAGACGGAAGTCAACCATGTCTTTACTATTCTTCAAGTTCTTGCTATACTCTTCGGCGGCATTCATTGTTGGATGGATTGTATTCGTGTAAGATTTCAATCTACTCCTTCCTTACCTCAATCCTTAGTGACTTTATTTTATTTATGATTGATTTTTTATGCTGTGTTTATTTATTCTGTGATGTAAATTTGGACAGACTATATTCAGGACATTTTTTTTGTAATTCATCAATTTAATTGTAGAGTTTGCCCAAAACCTTCCACCTAGATTCCTATAGTTGAAAAATCTAAATGAATTCATTTAGTTTCGGATAGTAATTTAGGTATCCGAATTCAAATAAGCTTAAACGAATTCGAATTTCGGATATTCATTGACAGCCTTAAGTCACATGTCCAAATATCAGTTTACCAGAATTTACTTATCATTCTCCTCCATGGGACATCTGGTTCAAGAGGAACATAAGGCTAAGACAACATACATTCTTAAATTTCTACTCAATGAGATAATTAAGAACTTCAACCTATCTTTTAGAGCTGATATCTATAAGAAATGTTGTGGTTCACAATTGGAGGAGACCACTATGTAGCCATGTAGGTGTGGGGAGACCAAACTTCTGAAGAAAAAGGAAAAATACCTAATTAGTTAGTAGATCACTAAGTGTAACAACTACATAGGAGAGACTCAATGGGTACCAACCCATCTCCCTCATTTTTATCTCTCTTTTATATTGTAATCCAGGATACTTCTCTTCATTTTATTAATTATTACATTTTTTTAGATTTCTTCCATTTTCTTATGAATATGGGATGAAGTGATGAACTATGAATGTTATTGAATCGATAAGTAGTGACTTGGCTATCTTATTCATCATTTGCATTTTCCAGATTTGTTGCCAAGGTGGTTGCTTTTCTTTTGAGCCATATAATGGGAGCAACTACCGACTTTGGGATATCTGGGTGTAATGGTTTCAAAGATGTCACTGTGAAGTTAAAAAAGGTTAATCCTGGCTATTTACAAATTTATCTGTTCTTACTCTGAAAAAAAAAATCTATTTTTGAAAATTTCTTTCGATTTTTGTTGATGATATTTCTCCTTCGGATGAAACATTAATTTGAACTGCATATTTTCAAATCCAAATCTAGTATTGCTAAAACAATGGGTTTTTTTTCACTTGGGAATTTTTAGGGTTAGTATCTGTAAACTCCACAAGAAATCAAACTCTGAATTACAATTTTTGCACAAGTGGTAGGCTTCAATTCTGAGGCAAATTTCCTAGTTATTTAATCATTTGGGTTAATGCTAATAGAATCTTCGTCGATTCGTATGTTCATATCTCATATTAGCTGTCTTCATCACCAATGAATTTTAATTTCATAAAAAATGCATGAAGACAGGTTCTGAGTTCTGACATGAGTTCTCTATATAGATAGGTGAAGGAAATAGATTTTCTTTAAAAATGCTTAGAATGCTATTAGACAAAAAGAAGTGAAGACAGAGATCACCTATTTTTTATTGTTCTTATTCCAGAGTTATATGAGATAAAATCACTGTGATCACACACCACTTTTTGGATAGCTAAAAACTCAGATGGACACATATTTTTAAGAAGACGAAACAGATCACCAGTAACTCTCCACCACGATAACCATTAACTAACTTGCTAAGTACTTCAAATTGAGTGATGCAAAAGAAAGCATGAAGATACAAAGGTCCAAGCCCACGGGATTGCAAGAAAAATTAAGCGAAATAAAATCTGCCTATAACAGACTGAAAATTAAATCTTTTTAACAGATTAGAAGGCTATCTGCTAAATAAATGAGATAATGGGGTCCCCTTGAAACCATGAAGAGAAGACATGTGCCAAACTATATTACCATAGGTGTGTGTGTTGAGTCTGGTAGATGGGTAGTAATTTTTTGTAAGCCACTGCGTTGTTTGGCTTGAGCCAGGACTCTTGTGCCTTCTGAGAAGTTTTCTTCTATTTTGAAATAGAATTTACCAGTTTTTTATTTAAGAAAACGCAATTTAAAAACTCTATCTTTTTTACCTTTAAAAAAAATTGATTCTTGTTTTCAAAGTGAACAAAATATTTATATTTTATTTTTTTCATATGGAGAAATTTTTAGATTCAATAGTGGATAAATTACTGTAGTTATATGTATCTAGTATATCTAATTGTATGGATATTTAATTCCTTCTAAAATTAACTTATTTAAACGTAAATATTTCTTTCTTTTATTTCAGTAGTTTTCTTATTTTTTCTGTCAGTTATTACTAATGTATGATTATACTTTAATATTTTCAGGGAATTATTGAATATATATATATTGGTGAGATTAAACTTAGTCCACACTGGTCTTTACTCAAGCTGGATCCAAAGTTTCAGCTATCAATATGTGATTTTGAAATAAAAATAAGATATTCAGAGAAAAAAGCTGTAAAACGAACAAAGAAATCACACTCTAAAAGCAGTGGAAAATTGATGGTTCTGGCTAATGTTGCTAGATTCTTTTCAGTTTCTGTGATGGATTTGACTGTGAGGGTAAGCACTTGTACTCTCTTAAATAACACTATCTTGGTAAGAAATAAGCTATCAAAGATGCTAGCATATTTTTTAATGCTGTCTATTACAAGAATCCCAATCAAAACCAGATTGAGGGTAATGCACTAAATATTTGGGAGACTAACCTCTTGAAGCATTGACTTTCAGTTAGTCTGATGAACTTGCTCATCTCCCACTATCTTTTTAATTGAGCTTATATCCACTCCAATTTATTCCTGAATTTTAACTTCATCGGAAAAAAAATCATTTTTTTTTAAAGCAATTAAAATTTCATTAAAAAATAAGGGCAATGCCCAATTTACAAGAGTATAGAAATAAAAACAGAAGTAAAAAAGAAATGGACAAAAGCTCATTGACACTCTTCCATTAGCTATGTAGTCTAGTTATACAGTAACTAGATACGTTGCCTCAGGAGGTTGGTCTCCCATACTTCCATCATAGATGTCTCCAAAGGGTGACAACAACTTTTCTTGTAATACACTGAATCAAAGGAGAGACTGATGTCTTTAATGACCTCCTTAAGGACTACCTCAGGAGACCTACTAACATGCTGTCTATATCTTTTATTTTTTTCGTCCATATATGGCACGACAAGCACCCAATAGCATTCCATAGTAGCCCCCAAGTGGGAGAGTGGTGCGAAATTTTTTGCGCTGCCTCCGTCAGATCCCCCAATCTAATATCTGAACTGGATTGGGTGGGAATTGGAATATTCATTATTTTCCAGAAGGCGAGATTCAGGTGCTCCGCCAACGGAATTAAGAGAGATCTGGAATAAGAACAATCAAAGAAAAAATGACTTCTTGTTTCATCTTCCAGATTGCATAGTAAGCAAACAGGAGGTGCTTGTACTTTCCAACTTCTTAACTTCCTGAACGTGTTTAGATGACCCCATTTCACCCTCCACAAGAGAATAGAGAATTTTGTCGGCATCTTCGACCAAATTCCCTCAACTAACACGTCTTTATGCTTTCTATCTCTTATACTTTCCATCATTCCCCTCAACTTGCTTATCAGAGTACCAGATCTCCACACAATCGTACTATTGGCCCTACAATCCAAACATTTATCCACTAGGTTTCTTTCTGAGATAAAAGCTTTCCAGAAAAAGAAAAAAAAATCATATTTGCATTGCATGTAATTGTGTAAATATTGTCAAAATTCTATAGATATCCTCAGTTTTTTAATTGTTAGTTTTCGCATAAAAAAATGATGCAGTATCATTAGGGTGTCAAACGAGCCGAGCCGAGCTTTTGCTTATAGAGCCGGCTCGGGCTCGTTAAGGAGTTATCTAGACTCGAACTCGGGCTCGGTTCGTTAAAGAATTGCCAGGCTCGGGCTCAAAGCTCGCGAGCCTGGGCTCGAGCTCGAACTTAACTTGCAATTCTCCAAAAGAAATAATTTGGAGAAGTGGGGTATCGAACCCGTGACCTCTCACATGCTAAACGAACACTCTAACATTTGAGCTACATCCCCATTCTCTTCAAATATAATATTTTTTTTTATTTTTTTATACTCTTCTTACCGAGCCCATCGAGCTTAACGAGCCGAGCTTTATTTGACACCCTATGTATCATTTTGGACATTTGGTAGGGATATTTCCTTAAAAAATTAAAGTTATAAATTTCAGTGCAGAAGACTGACATATTACATGTATTAATCTCGCTTCAAAGTTATTTCTAGGCTATTATACAATATACCATAAATGTTATTGTAATGAAGGGTGAGAAAATTACATTATTGTCATAGGTGAATGCATAGGGTAATATGATTAGTGTCCTCGTGCAAGTATTTTGACATAACAAGTCTAATCCATTGTGTCTTGGGCTACGTCTTCACAGTGATAGTGTATTCGGTTTGTAATGCAGTAACAATCAATGGAAAAAAATAAAAGTACCTCAGTAACGTGAATGAAGAACAATCTGAAAATTCCAGCACTTCAAATTGAAGAAGGGACGATCTATTGGAATCCACCAATAGTTCTACTAGAATCCACTAGTAGGGAATAGAAAATCAGATAGGAGTCCACCTGATCCGATGAGAGAATAAGAAGAATCGCAAGATCTGAGAAAAGTAGGAGAGAGAAAATAATGGTAATTCACCTTGGGAAAATTGTAATCTGCCCTCCTTCTTTGAGTCCACTCCTATTTATACTCCCAATGTTTAAGAGTGGAAATTCCACATTGGGAGTTGGCCAGTCCAATTAAAGGGACTGAGCCATGGCTCGAGCCAATGACCTTGTAGATTATTGCAATGGGCTACATCAGACGGCCCTTCTTGGGGTGCAATTGCCCTCAATTGCTCATCACTGTAATCATATGGGTAATACTTCTTTAGATCAGTCACATTAAATGTTGCAGACATATTGAACTCTTTTGGTAAATCCACAATAAAAGCATTATCATTCACTTTCTTCAAGATTTTGCAAGGCCCAAAATTCTTGTTTTTCAATTTGGAGTAAGTGCCCGTTGGAAATCTCTCTTTCTTCAAATGAACCATCACTAATTCGCCCTCTTCAAATTTCTGAAACCTTTTGTGTTTATCTGCCAATTCTTTGTACTTCAGGTTATTTTTTTGAAGAGCCTCTATCACTTGTTTATATACTGTTTTGTTGTTTTCTATTATTTCCTCCACTTTCTTGTTTTCAGAATTAATAGAATTTACATCCATTACATTTTTGGGAAGATGCCCATATGCTGCTAAGAATGGGGCACAACCAATAGATCTGTTTGGCATACTATTGAACGCAGACTCTACTTGTGGTAGACAAAGGTCCCACTGTTTTAGATTTTCTCCAACCAAAGCTCTCAACAGATTACTCAAGGTTTTGTTTACAACTTCTGTCTGACCATCAGTTTGAGGGTGACAAGTTGTGCTGAATTTAAGACTTGTATCGAACCTTTACCACAGAATTTTCCAAAAACGAGACAAAAATTTAGTGTCCCGATCTGACACTATGGAATTAGGAATCCCATGAATTCTAACTATTTCTTTGAAAAATAATTTAACAATGTGTGAGGCATCACTAGTTTTCTTGCAAGGAATGAAATGAGCCATTTTTGAAAAACGGTCTACTATCACAAAAATAGAGTCAAATCCTCCTCTAGTTTTTGGAAGACCCAAAATAAAATCCATGGATAAATCAGTCCAAGGTGCTTTTACCACAGGAAGTGGTGTGTATAAACCAGTGTTCTGATGACTCCCTTTTGCTACTTGACAAATAGGACATCTTTGGACGAACTTTTCTACCTCTTTTTTTTGACCCGGCCAATAATATCTATCTTCAAGTTGTGTAAGTGTTTTGTCTCTTCCAAAATGTCCAGCCAGCCCACCAACATGCATTTCTCGAATCAACTGCAATCTGAGTGAGGTCCTGGGTATACAAAGTCTGTTGTTTTTAAATAGGAACCCTTCATGAATTTTGAACCCTTGATTACAGTTACTTTTCAAACATTGTTCCCACTTAATGCAGTAAGCAATCAATGGAAAAAAATAAAAGTACCTCAGTAACGTGAATGAAGAACAATCTGAAAATTCCAGCACTTGGCCAAAATCTTCATCAGATTCATATAATTCTTTTAAGGAGTCAAAAGATATGACTTCTAATCTCATAATGGTTAATTGAGAATTTCTCCTACTAGAAATACAAGCCCCCAGAAATTGTCAGCAGAGAAATTATAAAGGATGTGAGCATTACATATGATTCTACATCCTATAGGAAGCACAATCTTTCACAGATTGAAATACAAGCTATACGCTCATGGGAGTCAAACCTCTTGAGGCTTCAATCCTTGGCCAGTTAGTCAGGGTCATAGCTGCATAAGAGATAGACAGGGTCATAGACATTTACTGTACTTGCATTTCCCTATATTATTCTGTAATCTTGGGCTATGCCCAACCTCTTTTTCAGTAATGAAAGTTTTAATTTCTCAAAAAAAAAAAAAAAAAAAAAAACTCCTACTAAGAGCATCAACCACTTTGTTGCTTTGACCTGATCTGTGTTTAATTGTGAATTCGAACCTTTGTAAGAAGGCAAACCATCTTCTATGCATTCTATTAGAATCAGTAGTCCCATTAATTTGTTTCAGTGCTAAGTGATCTGTTAAGACAATAAACTCCCTCTGAACTAAGTATGGTTCCTAAATCTTGCAAGCTCTAAAAACAGCAAATAGCTCTTGTTCATATGTTGTCCAATTTCTTCTTCCATTATAAAAGTTTTTCACTATGAAAAGCTACCGGGTGTTCATTCTGACTTAAGACTGCCCCAATGCCAGTAATACTTGCATCACATTCTACCTCAAAGACTTTAGAGAAGTCGGGTAGTTGTAACACAGGAGCTGATAAAAGTTTATTTTTTAATTTTCTAAAACTGTTTTCATCCTCCTTATTCCATTCAAACTTTCCTTTTTTTAAACAATCTGTGATTGGTGTTGCAATTGCACTGAAATTCCTTATGAATCTTCTGTAAAATGAAGCTAGTCCCATAAAACTTCTCACAGCTGTCACTGAGTTGAGTGTTGGCCATTTTTCTAATGCTTCAATCTTTCTTGGATCTGTTTTTAGACCATTCCTGCCTATTATGAACCCTAAAAAACACAACTCTGATTTGAGGAAGTCACATTTTTCCAAATTCAGTTTTTTGAAGCAAAGAGCCATAAAGGTAGATGGGGCATTGGAGAGCCCAAAAGGCATTACTAGCCATTCATATAACCCTTGTCTAGTTTTGAATGTCATCTTCTATTCATCTCCCTCTCTAATTCTGATCTGGTGATATCCACTTTTCAAGTCCAGTTTTGTAAACAATTCAGCCCCAACAAGTACTAGTAGTTTTTCCATTCTTGGAATTGGGAATCTGTATCTTACTGTAATTTTATTGATTGCTCTGCTATTGATGCACATTCTCCATTCCCCATTTTTCTTTGGAATAAGAAGGGCAGGAACAGCACATGGACTGGCACTAGGCCTTATCAACCCTTCTTTTAGCAAATTTTCTACTTGGGTCTGAAGTATTTCTGCCTCTTTTGGACTGAGCCTGTAGTGTGACAAATTTGGCAGAGAAGCACTTGGAATTAGGTCAATTCTGTGATCAATTGCCCTTATTAGAGGTAGGGTATTCTCTGACCCAATATCTGAATTATATTGTAATTCATCTAATATTAACTGAATTTCAGGTGGGACAACTTTTTTCTGTTCACTGTTCAGATTTTGCTCTTTTAATACTAAAGCCAGCCCCAAATCTTCATTTTTCAGCTTTTTTATAAAATCAGATTGTGTTTGAACCAAGAAATTTGTGCTTGTACCACTCTTTGTGCTTTCCGGAGGTAGTGGAATTAAAGTAATTTCTTCCCTTCAGCTTGAAATATATATTGGTTCATTCTACCATAATGAGTGGCTTTGACATCAAACTACCAAGGCCTTCCAAGTAGAATGTGTGCAGCATTCATTTCTACTACATCACGATTCACCGTATCTGAATATCTTTTCTCAATGGATAATGGGACTTTGCAAAAATGTTTGATTTGTACCCCTTCTTCATTTTTTATCCATCCAATGGTGTAAGGTTTTGGATGTTCTTCTAAATTCATTCCCAACTTTAATACTGCCTTATCTGAAATCAGATTGTCTGTGCTTCCATTATCAATGATGATGTCCAAGGTTCCGGGTGCGTGCGCATATGCGCAGGTGCTACCCTACTGGGAGATGCGCCCTACACATCTCCCTTAGCCGGATTCGGGTAGGATCCGACCCAGATACAGGCCTGTTTTAAGTTATTTAAATAACTTAAAACAGTGTTTTGTTTTTATTTAAAAAAAAAGGCCAAATTTTTATTTTATTTTAAGACCTTATAAATTTTTATGCCAAAAATTTATACATTGGTCCATGAAAAGAGCTATATTATTTTTAATATAAGCTCCTCCCACTCTTAAGACTTTATATTTGTTTTAGACAAAATGAATCCTTATTTATAGACCAACCTTCTTTGTGTTTTTTGAATTCTATCGATGTGGGACTAAAAAAGTGTAGTTAAATAAATTATTATTATAGAGTATTTTTGATGTTATAGATGTATTAAAGAAGGCCCAACCCATTACGTTATTATTTTTTAAAAGCCTCTTGGGTTATTTATTCTTTTCTTTTTATAAAAGCCTCTCTTTTATAAGTTTAAAGAAACTCTAGCCATTTAAAAAGCTATATTATTACGAAAATACTCCTAAATGGTTAACCGATTTTTAAACCTTGGTGTTACAATGAATTATAGGGTGTTATAATAATTAATAAATATATGTATTATAATAATTTTTCTATCCAATATATTTTTAACTAAAAAATTTAATTGATATAATTTAGATATATAAAAAAATTATATGAATTTCCTTTAGTTTTATATATATTTACGAAAATGTCACTGGCGCATATGCTCAAGTGCTCCAGGTGGTGGCGCATCTGGAACCTTGATGATGTTGCACACTTTCCCT